AAGCTGTGTGAATTGTCCTGAGATTACTATTATTACTATAATAAATCTTTTCAAATCAGCCGATGTTTATTTTTGCCATAATACGTGCTGTTACCATGTGATAATATTACGTACGTACTTATTAAACTATTAACTTATTATTAAATTGTTTGTAACGGTCTGGGTGTTTTCTATGTATAGATAATATATATGTATTTACGAAAAAAATCTTTGTATTTATATCAGTACCCATAACATAATCTTCAGCTAGCTTAACTTGGGTCTAGATGAAGCTGTATGAATTGTCCTGAGATTACTATTATTATTAATTGGTACACAGGTAAACTACTAACTAGGTCATATTGGTGTTGTTTGTTATGGTGAAAAAACTAGTATATATATAAGTTACACGTACAATTTCAAAGACTTATTTCTTGAAAACTACTGGCTATTCTGAAATAAAACTTTAGTGTTTGTATATGTAATGTTTGCATATAAAATATGATTAAAGGTTACCAGTGTATTTACACTTTTACTGAACAAACAGATTTGTTTAATACTGAAAATATTGTGTGGAAGGCATCAATTACTTTCAGTGCATGTATAGCTTTTCTCTTTTCCTAATTATTATTATTATTAAGTTTAAAGTGGTTGAATTTTACGTAAGGGGTTTTTATACATTATTTCTAATTTACCATTTATTTTAAGTTTTTTAAACTCTATTCATCGAGACCTATCTAATGAGTCCAAACACGATATTTCTGCTGTAAGTTTTCGAAGAGTATGTTCATCATCTGATAATACTGGTGCCAGCATGAAGTCAAGGTTAACAGATAACTAATTACTTTTATTTCGTCAAAATCTTTAGATTACGTATAATAAATTCATAATATCGCTACCTATTCAAATCAAAACAAGTATTAGGTACTTCATGTACTAGTATATAAATTCATCAACACACAAGTAAATGATTTTTAAATATATTCAGAGCCAAAAAATCTTTGTGCATTTAAAAAAAATGCCGATACGGATTCACTATTGCAGGAAATTGTTGAAAAAATATATATCGAGTATAAGTATCTACTACTACCGACGAATACATTTGGCAACAACGCATGGTCTCGGCCGGAACGGCAACATCGCATATTAGAATACAAAGATAGTGATAGAAAGAGAGAGACAGTGGATCAGCAATATCTACGGATCGTGGCTGGATCAACTAAGTGTGCAAGTGTATATAAATATATATATATATATATACATTTGTCTTTAATTCAAAGGAAATATAAATAATGAACGCATCACATTTAAAACAGTATAAATAGTTAATAATTTAATAATAAGTTAATAGTTTAATAAGTACGTACGTAATATTATCACATGGTAACAGCACGTATTATGGCAAAAATAAACATCGGCTGATTTGAAAAGATTTATTATAGTAATAATAGTAATCTCAGGACAATTCACACAGCTTCATCTAGACCCAAGTTAAGCTAGCTGAAGATTATGTTATGGGTACTGATATAAATACAAAGATTTTTTTTCGTAAATACATATATATTATCTATACATAGAAAACACCCAGACCGTTACAAACAATCATACTCATGAATAGAAATGTTTGCAGCGTGCGAGGAATCGAACCCTCGACCACCAAGCAGGAATCAAAGCAGTGTGCTAGCTAAATCGCTAGACTACCGACAACTAGCTGTACACCCGACTTCGTCCGCGTGGAATTTAACTTCTTATATTTTAGAAAAATAAAGTTAAATTCAACACGGACGAAATCCCGTGTACAGCTAGTCATCAATAAAAAAACACGTAGGTATCTCTAATATATTATACACTAGCTGTTCCCGCGACTTCGTCCACGTGGTTTTTAACTTTATTTTTCTAAAATGAAAGTAGCCTAAGTTACTCCTTATTACATCAGCTACCTGCCAAAAAAAGTCCCGTCAAAATCAGTCCAGCCATTTCAGAGATTAGCCGGAACAAACAGACAGACAGACAAAAATTGTAAAATATGTTATTTTGGTGTATGTACCGTATTTATATTCATATGCAAGTAGTAAAAAACGGTTATTTCAATATTACAAACAACAGGCTTCAACATTCTCAAGTACCACAAAAAAGATGTTTTTATTAAAAACAAGGTGTTCCCGCGACTTCGTCCGCGTGGAATTTAACTTTATTTTTCTAAAATAAAAGTAACCTAAGTTACTCCTTATAAATCAGCTACCTGCCAAAAAAAAGTACCGTCAAAATCGGTCCAGCCATTTCAGAGATTAGCCGGAACAAACAGACAGACAGACAGACTAAAATTATAAAAATAGTTATTTTGGTATATGTACCTTATATATATTCATATGCATGTAGTAAAAAACGGTTTTTTCAATATTACAGACACTCCAATTTTTATTAAATGTATAGATGTATAGATTATTATTTATTTATTTATTTATTCATCCAAAATACTACAGATTGTGTAGGATAACGTAATAGTAACATTACAGTAAAATTTTGTCAATAACATAATAGCAACTTAAACATTAAATCTCGGTATATCTATAGACTAGCTGGCCCCAGCGACTTCGTCCGCGTGAAATTTTATTTTATTTTTCTAAAATAACAGTAGCGTAAGTTACTCCTTATTACATCAGCTACTTGCCAAAAAAGTCCCGTCAAAATCGGTCCAGCTATTTCAGAGATTAGCCGGAACAAACAGACAGACAGACAGACTGTACTATGCTATACTATGTATTGATTGATATACCTAAAATAAATAAAATATCTGAGGTTTGGACAAAAACTCAAAGGGTAATTTATTTTGAAAAAGTATTTTGAAAATACCTATTTTGCTTTTAGTGTTATAGTACTTTAACTGTTATGTTTTAAGTAACAATGTTTAATTATAATTAATACTACTGCACCAACACTCCGATCGTGCAAAAAAATTTGCTGTTTCATTATTTTTTAGTTCAATTAGTGGTCTACCTAAGTTCTGGGCTAAGGGGGGGGGAGAGTCATGACGCCCCCATGACTCCCATGACCTCCATGACGCTCCCCCCTGGATCCGCCGTTACGTCTTCTCTTCATTCGCTCAGTAACGTTGTTACAAAAGGAAAAATTCCCGTCCAAAAAATAACAAGTATTGAGGTTTGATCTGGAGTCACGTTACTCCAGACTGATTTCTATAAATATTTAGATTAGGTAGACTATTATTTTTGAAATACTAGCTAGACATTATTAAGTTACTGTAGCCATAATGTAGTAGCCCAAACGTGCCAATGAGGAAGCCCTTGGCAAATGCTGCACCCTGATTGGCCCGTTTGAATTGGATCAAGAAGTGGTCGTATGCCAAAAAGGTGGATTTGTATAAAATCGTGTATAAATCGCTTAATTATTATTATTACTCGTCGTGACAGTTGTGGCTCAAAACGGATCAACATTTATATATGGTCATCTGGCATTAGATCAACAAAAGGCCTCCGGATCAACAAGTGAAAAAGGATCAACAAAAAACTACCTATACGGCACGTCTGAGCCACAAAGTGCCCAAGGGGATATTTATATATATATATATATATATATATATATATATATTATTGTACGATTATATAAATAACTATGATGCGATGCGCTAGTGATTTCTAGATGACGAAGATCGTCATCTAGAAATTACTAGCGCGAATGATTTTATTTCCTATTCCATTTTGTCACGAGAACTTACCACGTTTTATTGAGTTCCCTATATTTTGGCACTGTTTCAACCGGCATGATCACGGGTAATCCGTATAAATAATGACCGCGCCAAATTTAATACAATTATTATCATGATTATTTCAAAAGAGTGTTTGTAAACGGTTTAAAAGAAACATTAAACTAAACTTTTTTAGTTTATTTTAATGATTTATAATATAAGAGAGAATTATTTGCATTGTTCATTACGAGTTCCAGGTGTTTTAGAACATGGACGTGTCGGCTACACTACTTTATTAAACGAAGTGTTATTTATATAAAGTACCTACACATATATGCCAGATGGGCTGAAAATGTTTGCGGCTAGAAGTCTAGATATTTATACGACTAATTAATTCAGACTAGAATACATCGTAACTCATGCAAAACTAAACTAAAAAGGGTGACGTGCTGAGAAATAAAATTAAATATTATAAATTAAATATAGTTAGTTGTTACGCCATACATTTAGTAAATAGTTAATAAAATGATTATTGGATTAGTTACATTTAGTCATTTTAATTAATAATGAATATTATGATTAAATTAGTTATGCACATTTAGTAAATTAATTAATTAAATTTATTTGTATTGACATGTAGATACAAAAAAATAATAGTTACCTGTTCGTTAAGGAGGCGATCCATATTAATATTACATAATATTTAATATTACAACAGTTTTGCAATATATGCATAGTATAAAAAAGGACTACTCGTGTTACAACCGATTAACGACTGACTAATCAGCAATCGATTTACCACTGCAATACCATCTTTATTACCCCAATGCCGACAAGGAAATGATAATGTGTTTCAGATTTATGTCTGAAGAGGTAGAGGGCGTGATATCTCCGTTTGGTACAATCTTGAATACTTTTTATTTCACATAAATAAGAAAACTTTTATAACCCGGAAATATTACGATTAGAATAAGTTTCCAAAAACATTCGAAATATAAAAATAAATTGTTAATAAACCTTATCTATGATATCTTTAACGGTGAAGGGTGTCCCTCACGGTGATGTGACCGATGTAATAATGATTTTTTTATGCCTATTGGAAAAAAAATTACCGATTTCATTATGTTATTCATTTACAATACAACGCTAAAAAAAACTCAATTAACCAAAACATTAAACATGTATGTATTATTAAATATTCTTTTATTTCTCTTAAATATCTATTGGGAAAACTGACCGATTACATTATATTGTTGATTTAAAGATGGCTACATAAACTTCAATGAACCAAAACATTAAACATGTATGTATTACTTACCTTATGAACATGGCCTATATTTCTGTTCCAGTTATCGCGCCTTCCTACCGGAGTCGCCTCGGGCTGTTGGAGTCGGCAGCGTGGGGGGTTCAGCCACAGCCTACCATCACCCCGTAAAGTTAGAGAAGCAAAGCGACAGACATGTTAACATTGAAAGTAATAGAATCGACTATTGTAAATCTTCGATTTACACAACGGATATAATAATACAAAATGAATTATCATTAATAGTTGCTTAAGCACTTGAGTTCCGCTATTTTGTTTTTGATTGTACATATTCTATTTTTTGTACGTTGATTTATTTATCACTAATATATGAATAGAAATTTTGTTCAAGTATGGTCTTACGTTATTATTAAGCGATTCTATTACTTTCAGTCCCGTGTTAGATGCGGACATACAATGAAATATAAGAAATAGAACATAGAATTATTAACATATACACCACCATTCTACTACTGTGAAACATATACATAATTATATACAAGGTGTAACAGATAGGGTACATTGTTAATATTGTTAATGACATGATTCCAAATTAATTAATAGTTTTCATAAGAATAATTCACAGTTCCTAATATAAAAATATTTTTTAAACTTATCATACATTTTCTTTAACACAAACGTGGAATACTCCGCATTTTATTCAATACATTACGCCTTGTATATCAATCGTTCTCTATAATAAAGCACAAAATTTGTAGGGTACAGTATATAGTCCTCCCATTTGGACTGTTTGTTTATAGTTTTAAAATATTTTTAAAGTAGTCAGTTCAAAAATATTTTAATTTAATTTCATAAATTCATTCACGTTTTAATGTATTGTGGGAGTCCACAATAGATTAAAACGTGAACACCGCAAATAGAAACGATTCTTTTAAGTCGTAAATATATCGGTTAAGCCGTTTCTAAGACTGACACGGACATACGCAATGCCATACCGATATTAATTCTAGAAATATTTGTTTGAATTCATTGCGTTGATGAAGTCCCAATAATAACGTTTCACATGTACTTACCGTGTACAAAGAGCGATCAGTTATTTTTTTATTGTATTTACATATATGTATGTATATATATTTTATAAACATAATGTAGGTGTATTGTATGTACATATATGTATGTACATATATGTAGATACGTATAATTAGTACAAATCACGGGATCTTACCACGTTTTATTTTTATTTGCTGAGTTCCTGATATTTCGGCAGTGTTTCAACCACCATGATCACGGGTAAGATGCGGTAATTTTTACTAATTATACGTATAAATAATGACCGCGTCAAATTTAAAACAATATATGTAGATATCACGAGGTAGTTTAGTAAATGTACGAAGTATCGTTTATCGTGTATTCTGCCTTTGTATAGTCACGTGCAATACGAATACATCGCTAGTATGTACTGTAAAATTGCGACAATTACAAAACTTAAAACCAGTGTAACTAACACGTGTTCAATGCTACAAGGCACATAAATGTACACAATGATCATAGTATACACCAGATATACAGTGCATTCGAGTCATTTCCCATCATGCATACCTTACCCAACATATATATAGCTCACGATATACTAACATAAAACAAATATAATAATATTAGGAATATACATACATAAATATAATACACTAAATTATATGTTACTTGCTCATATATATCTGTTTAAGAGAAGACTATTAAGAACTGCTTTTGAATAATTCTATTATATAATGGAGCAAATCACAACGCTGTGAACGACGAAAGGGGTGTTATCGTGGTAGTTATGGGCAACTGTATTGGCTCGATTAATAGCAACGTACAAAACGGTTCCTCTAAAAACCATCATTAATTTTACTACAAAAATAAATTACTACAAAAGTAATTTAGAAAACTAAGCGAGACTATCTACATCGTGCCCAGAAGTTACTTGAAATAAATTTAAATACCCATTTAAACTTATGTACATCATTTGTTATCATCACCTTCTATATTTTATTAATTAAAACTTCATTAATGTTTATCATCATGCCCAAACTGATAAAATAATTAGTTAATTCTGAAATACATTAAATAATACGTCGAGTGTGCATGGTGTATGTAACTTATGTATCTTCTCTTATAGTAATTATAACGATGACTTTTTAATAACAATACGTAATCACGATATATCAGAACTGAGACAAGACTTAGCTCTTAGTTTTTAGATTGCGGAGTACATTGCATATCTAAATACTACTAATTCATACCACTGTTTCTTCCTTGTCTTCATAAAGTTCCAGCCGTGGTATGGAAAACAGTACAAACACAAAACTATAGATTTTTTTTCGGACTACTTTAATGCGTTGGCAGCTGGCCTTTACAGCTTTACCGGACATTAGGAGTCGAGTGCAGATGGCACTTCACACCCGCGGAAGGACTTATGGAGCGGCTGAAAGCCAACTCTCGCCTGACGGATACGACTTTAGTTTTAGGACACTGTTAGGGTTTCGATCCTCGGCTCAGGCCGTCGTCATCTCGTTCCCCGTTTGATTTGGACAGATCTATAAGAGTACTGGGCAGCCAGTAGACAGAACTACACGATAAGATGTACACGCGTTCGATAATGTGGCCACAGATACATAACAGATGTATCACCAAATTTGATAATGGAGAGTATAATGTATACTTTTAGATATGTGTATAGATTTATTATATTTAAAATTGCTGCGTAACCGGGAAATGTTTGTGTTTAATACGGGATGGAGTATATTCCCAACTGATTTTAATAATAAATAAAATATATACGCCACCCCATTAAATATATAAAACATTAAACACAGGTCATCATGTCTATTTATTGTAAAGTACATAAACCACCATAACGATACATAAATAAAAGAAATCAATCAGAATAAATAAAATAATCAGCGGACACAACAATAATAGTATGCTAATATTTTTTTGGGGTTTTCCGCCATTTCGATCCAGTTTTCAAACTGTGATGGAATTGTTTTGGTTCCACTTCCACTTCGAATCCTTTTAAACAAAAAAAAAAGATTTTTCAACTAGAAAGAAGAATAAAGTATTTCCTTTTTTGTATTATACTCCTAGTACTTCTGCACATCTACATAAAAAAAACAAATAAATACCTCTCCTCTTTTTGCACATCAAGTACTTTCCTTTTTATAATAACAATTTTAATTAGAAATAATCTTTATTCAAATAAACTTAATATAAGCACTTTGAATAAATATATTTTTTTTATCTCCACTCATTTGTAACGCAGACTCGTCACAAGAAGAACTAGTTAGAAACTTGCTCTTTTAAATAAAAGTTAATTAAATACACATTAACAATTATTAGGCATGCAATCCACATATAAACCGCTATGCACTCAATCTTTGTTCAATTAGATAACATTGTCAGAGCTATGACTTTTAAGTTAGATTTTTTCTACCAAATTATTATCATTTATAAACTCTTCAAGTTTTCAATACTTTCTCTTTTATAAAATTTCATCTAATAGTCAATCCCTTTACTGTTCTAAATAATACCGGTGTACCAAATCATTTAGCCTTATACTTAAGATATCCACTTTTATTGTATATAAAAAATACATAATACATATTAATTAAAAAAAAATTTTTAGCTTTCTTCTAATACCTATCTTTATCTATTAGAGCAATATACATATATTAACCATTCTCTATACTAACAGAAGTATAATAATTTATTTTGTTTAAAGGTTTTATAAGGTATTCCGATATTCATCGATTTCCTCAACACTAGAAAACAATTGTTAGTGGCACATGCACTTAAATCGTATATTAACTATACCATTTAAAGCATTTATATACATTATATATTTTAAAATAATTTATCAAATATATTCTAGTATATATCTCATTACATAATAATCTACCTACTTAAATAATATAATAAAATTACTACAAACATTCATGAAAATTGGATCTATATCGCCTTATTGTAACGATACATGTGTCCTTTGTTATATTGTTTGTGCTTCTTCTTTACTGTACGTTGCAAATAAAGTATATTCTATCTATCTATCTATCTATCTATATTTTCATTTTAATTCTATTTATAAAATGGTCTTAATTGTAAATTTTATTTTCTTTTGTTATCTGTACATACGTATGTAGCTGTCTCGTATCTGGTGGTCCCAATGAAAATCAGCGCTGTGGTATAATTTATTTATACTACAGTATAAATGCTGAGTGGGAATCACATTCAGCGTTACCAGTATGTTTTAGTTTTTGCTAGCTACTCGCCCTAGCTTCGCACGGGTGTACATGTATTATACATATAAACCTTCCTCTTGAATCACTCTATCTATAAAAAAACCGCTTCAAAATCCGCTGCGTAGTTTTAAAGATTTAAGCATTCATAGGGACGGACAGACAGCGACAGCGACTTTATTTTATACTACGTAATAATGAAGTTGTATAGTAAATATTATTGTAAATACTGACGGAATGCCGAATATTTTTATTATTATTATTATTTCTTCTTATTCTTATTCTTATATTCTTCGAAGAAGAAACTTCTCGGCTTTTGGTATTTCTGCTATGTACGGGCGTAAGCAAAGTACATAACAATGTTGTTTTAACGTGAATATAGTACTATGAATATCGGTCTGATCAGTTTGATGGAATTTTCTGACTATGCGGCATGTATTTAGAATTACAGCCTTCTGTAGTTGGCAGGATTTACTAGATGTACATACCACATTCTGACAAATAAATGTATTATTATTATTATTTGAGAATAATAATAATACATTTATTTGTTGTCTTAACTCAGCTTTTGCTGGTTTTTACACTTATTATTATTATTATAGGTAGCAAGTTAAGAATATTTATTGATTGATGCATTCGTTTTGGTATGCCACCGGTAGTTGAGAGGATTGGAACTACTGTTACCTTTTGTATGTGTCATAGTCGGGTTACTTCAACCTTTTAGTTTGTAATTATTTATATTTTGTTATTTTTTCAGCTATTGTATATTGCAGGTTATGCGTGTTAAGGACACCTATATCAAGGTATCCAGTATTGTTAATATTATATGATATCTTTAAAAGCTGACCTTGGAAATGTCGACTCCTGTGACGCCTTTCACCAGCTCGGGAAGGCATTGCACGATGCTGAGCACCTCGCCTGTGAGTTTCGCGGCGCCGACCTCGCCTCCACCGCACGATACCATCGTCACCTTCCGCGCTTGCGACAATGGAGCTGCCACCTCTGCTGCCACCTGGCAATTTATAGAATAGAATAGAAAATAAAAAAAATTAAGCACTTTTGAAGAGTCATAGCTATTTTTTTGTCACCGTGCACCCCCTGCTGCCACCTAGATAGGATAGAAATTATATAAATACTAGCTGTGCCCGCGGTTTCACCCGCGTGAAATTATTTCCTACGTGTTATTCTAATGTATAAGCTATATCACAAGTTTCATCAAAATCCGTTTAGTCGTTTTTGCTTAAAAGAGTACTAAATCCATACTTACAAACTTTCGTGTTTATAATATTATTAAGATACATAAATAGAAATTATAGAATAGGAAATCCTTTCTGTAATAATAAGTTTATGCATTTAAGCACTAAAAGTGCAAAAAAGACAGAAATAAAATAACAGTCATAGTTATTTTATTTCAGTCTATTAGAACTACACGTGTAGGTAAGTCTATACGTATGTACGTCTGTCATTCAAGTAATCCCATAACACAACAACTTGTGTTATGGGATTACTTGAATGACAGACATGCATGGCAATAGTAGTTCATGCACGCGATTTTCATTTAATGCTAGATATAAGTACAAAACGTAGATAAACTGGCGTTAAATAAAAAATAAATTATCTGCTGTAAACTGTACATTATAGAATAGAATAGCATATCCTTTATTATAATATACTAAATTTAATCACTTTTAAACAGTCTTTTTTTAATCTACCATTCAGCCAACTATCTCATCACAAGAAGAACGAGCACGAAACTTGCGTGTTACTCTTATAAGTAATCGTTGTAAAATTACATTTTTAAATCCAACTATATAAATACAAACTACCATCTGGCACTAATTTATGATGGTCAAAATATCATATACACTATAAGATTAAATACGTCGTATTGATTAGAGCAGACCAGTCCCTACAAGAAGAACTCGCTCACTAGTATTACGGATGAGCCAGCCATTACTACATTATTATAATTTTTATTAACCATTCAGTTGAGTTTCTTACTAGTTCTTCTCAATTGAAACTATACTGAACTAGATTGTTGAGAAAGTCAAATCAAATACAGAGTCCCATAATTCGAATTCATTCCATACCCTGCGTCATGTGATACTGGTAAGATAATCCATTTTGGGAATAAAAAGCAAAAAGTACTTAAAGGAAGGAAGAAAGGGTATCATTACCTTCGGTAGAGTCTCGAGCATCATGTCAACCATCGCTGCCGAGCCGTACTCTTTCCACGCCTCTGCTTTCTTCGACATTTGTTCCGCGTCTGCCACAGCCTTCGCCTTGATTGCAAACGCCTCAGCCTATTGAATTAAAAATCAAATTTTATTTAATTTTCCATAACATTCACACTTGTTCATTGCTGTTGAGATTATACTTATAGTATTTCTTTATTTCCTTTGAATAGGTTACATTATTCTTAGAAATAAATACATAGTTCCATATTCAGCTACATTTTGAGCATGCAAATTTAAATTAATATTAAATTAATAAATTTAACAAATATTAATGATTCATCATTATTATTCCAAATAATAAAGTGACAAAATAATATGTTTATCCAAAATTTTATCAGATAATTAAAACTATATGTTTAAACACACAATTATACGAAGAAGGCCGTGTTTGATGTCGAACTTCTTGAATTGAGCACTATAGTATATTGATAAAGAAGATATATATTGTTTTATTAAACAGCTACACGAGAAACATTTGTCCAAATAAAAATATTCACAACCTTTTCTGTTTACCTATAATATCAATGCAGTTTGTGGTAACAATTAATGTACTGATAAAACTTCTCATACCAATTAAAAGTGCGTAAAAATTACTACGATAATGCGAAATTTAACGGTAATAAGCGTCGCAATGAAACGTACACATTCGTATCATTATCGTATTAGTATTTGGTATTATAAGGACTTAATTCCATGCGTGAATAATCACTTATCACCAATTTGTACTGTATTTAAATATTAACTTACACATTTTATTGGTTCCCGCCATTTTATAATACTGACTCCACAAATGCACAGAGTACATTATAGACATCTACTTGAAATGTTATAAAGAAATCAGACCAAAGACTATATATACATACTACAATTTCATATATATTTTATGTATAAAGATGGATTAGTGATAGTGTAAGTCGCCTATATACATAAATACAACCATGGACATGTTATGAAGCAATTTCACGGCATATCTCAGCCGTTAACAGAAATACGATTACAAGGCAACCTGTTTTTAAATTAAATGACACAGATATGCAAGCAGTTCTAGCTCTACAAAGACTACCTCGAGTATGTCGTAATAAGCTCTACACTTGATGAGCCCAGTTCCGCCAGCAGAAACCGCTTTATTTTTCACATGTTCATGGAACAGCCTGTTGTTTCGTGTACATTTTGGGAATCTCACATCTGTGACTCTCTCCATACAAACAAATATTTATTTAGCTGCTAGTGGCTCAGGATTGTCCATGAAATAATTTTAAGACTATTCCTATATAGGTGTTGTAATTTGAGAACCACGCATGGTAATGTATTTTAATATTTTATTATAATTATTTTACTTCTTACCTCTCCGCGTACTTTAACTGCCTCGGCTTCGGCCTCAGCCTCGAGGACTGTCTTCAGCTTATGAGCTTCAGCTAATTTCTCCAGTTTGAATTTCTCTGCTTCTGCTGGCCTGTGATTGGTAAAATATACATTACAAAATCATATTTTAAAAGTGTTACTAAGAAGATAAGCTGTGGAATATCACATAAAATATCTAAATATATATAACTCAAAGATGACTGACATAGTGATCTATCAACCCACAGCCCAATCCACTGGACCGATCGGGCTGAAATTTGGCATGCAGGCAGATGTTATGACGTAGGCATCCGCTAAGAAAAGATTTTGATTAATTCTACCCCCAAAGGGATAAAATAGGGGATTAAAGTTTATATGAAACTTTGTTAATTTTAAACCGATCGGGCTGAGACTTTGCATGCATAAAGCTACTATGACGTAGGCATCCCCTAAGAAAGGATTTTGATAAATTCCACCCCTATGAGGATAAATTAACGCGAGCGAAGCCGCGGGCAAAAGCTAGTTAAATATATAATGCTAAACTATGTTTATTTGAAAGAGCAACACATAGGTTTATTGGTCATACTTCTTATGGTGAGTCTGCTTTCCGAATGAGAGGTACAATAAAAAATATGACTAGACAAAAGTGCTTGAGTTTATTTCGAGTATTTTTATTATTTCTATTGCATGTATACTTATAATTTCAATAAAAATAATTAAAACAAACACCAGAAACAGTTATGGGCGGTTCGTCCTGCCGCTCTCTATCAGGCAACTATTAATAAATGTAACAATAGTTTAATAGTACATCATATATGTATTATAGAAATCACATCACAGTTCAATATGCTCAATTGCATATGCTAAAATGAACTACATGAATAAATGGTTTTTAAATTTGTATTCCATATTGCAAGTACATATACTTCAACGTCTATTTGTCTAATACATAATTTCGACTTCGAACTTCTTTGAAAACATAATAGTTCAAGAAAGTATAGAAGGCTGACAAAACCACCAATATAGATCAGTCTATGTATATGAAAGAAACTACTGCACGAATAAATTCGGTAGACATATTTACAATTTGAACACGAATTCACTCCGTCTGTACCGCGGAATTCGACTAGTAGTATATATATCTATAAAATACCTGCATTCACTCGGATGGACCGCGGGATTCTGCTAGCAGTCTATATCTTTAAAATATATGCATTCACTCAGCCTGTACCGCGGGATTCCGCTAGTAGTATATATATTTAAAATACCTGCGCACTGTGGCGTCCAGTTCTCTCTCCCGCCGTTGAACCTCCCATTTCTGAACGACAATCTCTTGTGTGCGTTCCACTACAGCAATTTGCATTTGTTCCTCTTTGATGCGTTGTTTAGTTTTCGCCGCTTGCAGTTCATACGCCATTTCAGCTTCCGCCTAGTCATACATAAACATAACAATTAAATTTATTTAATAATATCGGAATTAATATCATTAGGAATTTTGATCACTAGAAGGTCGTAACGCTTCCAGTAGCTAATTAGGTTTCCGCACTAATACTTGTGGTCTCACGCAAGGTTATGGTAGCGGAATTAAACAAAATAACATGAAATAATCCAGACAGAGAAAATTATACCCTGAACGGTCTGTTCATGGTATAATTTTTATTTTTACATTATTTCTAATAACTCTGCAATGCATCACTTGGTCCTCCATACATTCCGCCGGTAACTACCTGATTCATCACTATACACTATACTGGTATATATACTATAAGACCATCAGCTATGAAAGCAGACCGGCTGACTATTCCATTAAAATTTATTCGAATCAATCCCCTGCTTCAATTTATGGGGAACGAAATTTGAATGGTCTGAGCAAAATTTAAAACCCCGTCTTCCTCTGACTGGCTACGTCATGTCGATCCTCAACTGTACGTACTCATTTTCATCCGAAGAATCTTTAAAAGCCAACTGCATTGGAATGGTTCGAAAAACAATAATCAACAAATGCTTTATTTGTTAATAATAATGTCGATATTTTTAATTAAGGGAACCTGTATGACGTACACAATCATTATCATGTTTCAGTATCATCATCAACAACGCGTATGTGACATCCCTGGTGTTTCAGGCGTCCATAGGCTGCGGTAACCGTTTACCATCAGATGGGCCCTATGCTTGTTTGCCACCTACGTAGTATAAAAAAAATGTTTCTTAAATAGGTCATCTATTGGGTGCGGGTACATGTCATTTATTAGTGATGAACCTTGTTTTCGAGCTCGTTCCTCACAGATAATTCGACGGCCTCGGTGGTCTTGCGGTTTAGCACACCGCTTTACTTCTTATGGTCGCGGGTTTGATTCCTCGCACGGTGCAAATATTTGTATAAGTGTGTATGATAGCTTCCATCGATCTTTTCTATGTATATTATGTAACGTATTTACAAAAAAAATCTAAGTATTTATATCAGTTGTCTAGTACCCACAATACTAGCTCTGCTTACCGTGGGATTAGATGGCGCTGTGTGAAATTGTCCAGGGCTGTTTATTTATAAATAAATTGTCTACAAAGACAAATATATCCGATATAATAAACAATTACCTTCTTAGTTTGCACTTCGACATCATAGGCAGCCTTTTTTAGTTCGAAATCCCGTTGAGCCTTAGCAATTTCTGTGTCATTTAGGAATCTAGCTGCCATTCGCTGTTCTTCCGCCATTGCCTCCTTTATCCTGGCCTCCGCATGAGCTTCAGCTTCACCAATACGGGCGTCACGTTTAACTTCCGCAGTGCGCGCCATACCGAGCGCTTTCAAGTAACCCTGTACACAGAAATCTATTACAATTCACTTCCAAGAGAGTTGTTACTGTGAATTTGTAACATCTATATTACCTGTCAAAAATTTTTACATACAAAATAATTCAACACGCTTCACTTACGTTCTCAGGACTCATAGTCTGTTTTTTAATCGGAGACAAATGTGATATTACCGATGTTGACAAGTTTTTGCATTTTTTAAATAGGGTTGTGGCACTATCGGAAATTAATATTAATTACACATTTAAATAGGTTATTCAGAAGTATTTCGTGGGTGATTATATAAAACGCACAATCACAAAATTAATAAATATATGGTTGTTGTATCAAAATTGTTTTTTTTAATATTTCACCTGCCTTTTTTATAAAATAGATGTCCTTCTTATAGTGTCTTGTATCATAAAACATAGACATGTATAAAATATTAAGCTGTTTGAAAGAAAAATATGTTGGTAGTCTCCGGGATTAAAAGACAGACTATAGACAATGTTATAAGATTTATAATAATCTACACCATAAATATAACTACATATGGCCGACTTTATATCAAATATGAGTGTAAATATTCTCTTAATATATTGTTTTTGTATATGAATTCTTTTTAAACCAATACAATATTATAGTTATTTTAAAAGTTGACAGCTAATAGAAACGTTGCTATTTTTCCGTATTGCACACTTAAACATATATACATATATATTACAATTAAAATAAATACAAAACACACTATACTATACGCTATATTATACGGCTGCTGAACTACTCTTTCATTATTATGAGTCAACTTACACTCTGAAATGTTTAAAAACATAATCAGTAATCGTACTGGATTTCATTACCACAATTAATAATATTAAAGCTACACTTCACTAACGTGTCTTTAAACAAAAATTACTTTCGAGCTATAAATTTCCTTTCATACTCGATGCTTTGGCTGATAACAAATGTTTGAAGCGTTTAATTTTATGAACGAGATGTTTTTATAAAGCAACAGAGGCCAAATTGATAACGTAGTCACATTTCCAGCAATTGTATGGTATTTACGTAGCAATTTAGTGCATGCAATACCAGCGAATGTAATTTTATGATGTATAATTGATGTAGTTATTATCAGAACACTACATCTGGTCAATTACTAATGTATTTAAGTACATTATTACATGATTTTTTTATCGTTATATATTTCAACGAGTGTACTTTTTTATTTTATACTGTTTGGTGATATATAATACTACTTATGCCCCAATTTCACTTGCATGAATACTGGGTATCGTATTGTTGGGTTCAGATTACTATTCAATATTAACCAGTATATAGTAAGAAAAAAAGAAGATAGCCCTAAAAAGCATAATCATTGAAGATAGCAAATTTTGGACAGAACAAAATATTTTATATTTTTAAAAACAACAATATCTTCATTTCAAAGCTTTAAAAGTTGCATGAGTTGGGAATTTTTACTGTTTAAAATACATGAAATACAGTACTCTCTATTTTATTATATAAATCAACAGTTCTTGGTGAATTTTTAATATTTTTTGTTGTCCTGAAATTACATCGGTTAATATATTCAATAAAAATAGGATAATGCTCTGTGTTAAGATTTAGTAGAATCATTAAATAGATATTCCTATTTCTGAAAATAAATGTTTTCTTCTACTATAATTTACTATCTTCAGAATTAACATACTTTTAGTCCACAATCCACACATTTTTTCACTCTTAAATTAAGTAGTCACACACAAAATATTAAAAGAAATACAATCTTCAATAAATAAATAAATATGTGCCACACAATTACACCAATTGCTTGTTCGTCAATACAACACAATTCAAAGCATTTCACACCCAGTTCTTGGACATACCTTCGCTTCCTGTCGCCATGTTAGAAGAAAAACATATTCTACACTATGTGTGGAGTGTATCATTTTAAACATTATCAGCATAGTCAATATTAGAAATATTAAACCAGCACTGCTTCCCGAGTAAATTGGTGTAAAACATTGCGTGTAGACATTGAAGTATTCACACAAGCATGAAACAGTCAGTTTTAATATTCAACATCGACTAAAGATACTGATTTCAATTTTATATTGCAAAGTCACTTATAAATATTATGAGACTTAAAAATTATAATTAGCAAAAATTTTATAAAGCATATTTTTTTATAATGGCAATATTTTGACATTTACCTCTTCGTCTCTAATGTCCTTCAGGGTGTAGGAGACTACAGTTATACCCATGTTAATGAGATCGCTCGACGCCACTTCGAACACCTAAAAATATATTACTGTTACTTTATAGCACTTCAAAAATATAAATTATCATGAAAATACTTCATTTTAAATATATACATTGTATTTTATTATCATACGGTTCCCGATACTTCGGCAGTGTTTCAACCGCCATGATCACGAGTAAACTGAAGAGCAGCGGGTAGATGATAAATAAAATCTTTACACATATGCGTCTACCTTCACGCGTCATCGTTTGTTGGAACGTATGTTTGGATACTCGCTCGATATTCATCTCGGTAAACTATACACTACAGAAATATCGGGAACTCAGTAGAAATAAAACGTGGTAAGATCCCGTGATTTTTACTAATTATACATACATTGTACATGTACAAACATACACTAAAATACAATCACTGTAATCCAACGCTGCACATCGAGGTAGCGCACCCAAGATACTGGCAGCGTTGCTTCTTTGAATGGCCATGCTTAGCCTCTGGGCAAAATAGCTACCAGATTTCGGGTCACAAGTAACTTGTACTTGAAATACTCCATTTTAATCCCTTTGGTATATTTTCACTAAAAATTTTTTCCATTGCCGCTTAACAATAGGAAGTTAATAGTTTGTATTCGCACGTTTCTAATTGGAAATGTAAAGTTACAATGATTATTTAAAAGAGCAACAGCAAGTTTCTTGCTCGTTCTTTTGTGATGAGACAGTTTTCCGAATGAATGGTAGATTAAAAGAATGATAAGTATGACTATTCAAAAGTGCTTAAATTAAGTTTATTTGATTAAATTATTCTCTATTCTATTCATTAAGTTAAACAAGCTGAAAAGCAGTTAAATTGAAATCAATGCAATAAGTTCAATGTAATTCAAGTCTACATCATCGTTTACTAGCTTCCAGAGAATCATTTTTAAAAATATGATACGAATGTTCTTTTTTAAAATTGCGGAATGGTGAGTAAGGATTTTTCTAATATTATGAACGCGGAAGGTTGCGAGTATTGATTGATGGATGGATGTTCGTTACTCTTTCGCTCAAAAACTACTGAACGGATTTTGATGAAACTGTACAGTTATACAACTCACACGTCAGAATAACAAATAGCCTATAAATTTCACGCGGGTGGCACCGCGGGCAAAGCTAATCTATACATATAAATTAAATTGGACTATCTGTTTGTAATATTGAAATAACCGTTTTTACTACATGCATATGAATATAAATACATCAAAATAACAGTTTTTATAATTTTTATTTAAGTATTTTCCGGCTAATCTCTGAAATGGCTGCACCGATTTTAACGGGACTATTTTTGGCAGATAGCTGACGTAATAGCTAGTAACTTAGGCTACTTTTATTTTAGACAAATAAAGTTAAATTCCACGCGGACGAAGTCGCGGGAACAGCTAGTAAATAATAAAATAAGAAAGTTAACCTTTTTGGAGAATATTTTTCTGTCCTTATAAATTTCTTCGACCGTCATCGAACCCATAATGGCACGCTGGTGACCTTCGAGGGTTACCAGGGCTATGTGTTGGATCTCTTGTTCGGATTTGCCAAGAAACTGCTCGCACGCAGAGAGCAACATTTCAGCATTCTGACCTTGTATCTTGACCTGTAATTATATAATATTAAGAATTATTTTATTGTACAGTCAGTAGATATATATTACATTCTATTTTTATACTTACTATTGTATTAAAAAAAATATAGATGTAGTACTCCTAGTAGTAGTAACTAGGTCTTTGTTCTCTCTAAGATAATTATTTAATATATATGTATGAAAATCTAATTTAATGTTATTAGTTTCAGATAAATTTCAAAACATACTAAAACAATTTATAAAAATTTAATCCCACCTAAAAATATATTTGATATATATATGATATGATCTCAGTATTAGAATAACTGGATGACAACAATCCGTGGGCAGATCAGTCAGATTTAAAACATAAAGGTCCTGATGATCCTTCACACTAATCTCCGAACTGCTGGACCGATTTTTTTTTCAATAAAAGACACTCAATTAATTATTACGTATTTAATAATCACAATATATCAAATATAAAAACACGATAGCTTTAGGTATTAAAAGTAATAACAAATGTGTCACAAACAAGATATAACATTAATTATTCTTCTTCGGCGACTTTTCATTTCATTAAGACGGTTGGTTCTTAGTAGGTTAGAAATATATATGTACTACAAGTTGCATATATAATTTATAATAATAAAAAAAATATCGTTCACTTAAGAAACATAAGTAGGTTTAAGGAAAAATCACTAGTAAATGGATAATGAAACAGTAAGTAAATTTTCAAAACAATGAAAAATTCAAATTCGCATTATATATACATATATATATTTAATACCACGTAGGTGACAAACAAGCAGGCTGCATATCTTATGGTAAATGGTAACCGTAGCTTACGGACGCCTGAAACTTCAGGGGTGTTACGAGCGCGTTGCCGACCCTTAAGAAACCCTACTTGAAAATTTTAATAAAGGGTCCCCCTTTGCCCCCTTAACAATCCAGTTGTTCCCCCTCTCCCTGTGAGGCGTGGGCCCCACGTTGAGAAACACTGATATGTATGTAATATCAATAATACCTGTGCAATGCCTGTGACAGAAATGGGTACACCTTGACTGGTGTAAACTGTTGGCGACTCAACTTGGAGCGTCATGGTGTTGAGAGATATTCGTTGGACGCTCTGGATGGCAGGCCATACGAACGCCCTGCCTCCGGGCACCAGCAGCGGCTTCGAGTAGCAGCATCCTATTATTAACAAACAAATATTATCCTTTAAACATTCTAATCAAAGGTCATTGAGCAAATTTTAATTAGACATTTTTTTTAAACCATGGGAATAAAATTTAAAAGAAATAGAAATAGAAATAATCTTTATTCAAATAAACTTAATATAAGCACTTTTGAATAGTAAAGTTTTTTTATTCTACCGGTTTTTTATTCTAATAAATCGGTTTTTAATCAGCATTTTTCTATATAAAATGTTTAAATTTAATATAATATTTTCATTTTTATCCCGAAACTCATTATCTACATTAATGCAACTTAATACATATTCATAAACTAGATTTGACGTTGATAATATCGAATAAAACAGCAAAACGGCTGCCTAAAAACATTTGTCGTCTGAGGAATTATAAATACATATCATTATTATTATCATTATCGTATTATTATGCATTTAAAAACTCGTTTACGGAATAGAAACATTTATCGAAATGAAAAACCAATTATTTCATTTATATGCCAATCTTCCTCGAGGAATTTCCTTTACATCATCTGGTATTTTATTATAAATTCTTTTCGCCACATGGAAGTCATTATTTTTTAATTAACTTAAGAAATAATGACTTTCATGTGGCGGCCACTGTGAATGTTGAAGAAAAGGTTAAATTAAAAATTGTTACAGGTCACCATGATATAACAGTGACGCAAAACAGTTTAAAACAATTATTTTCAATTATACGATACATTGCGAACGCAATGCGTTATTTAAGTAGGTATTTTTTTATGGTTGATAATTTAATGGAGCACCAGTGGAAGATGATAAGATGAGCATGAGGTTAGGTCAGTTATCGAATGGTCTCTAGGGGGATCCGCGTGTATGTCAACCGACATGGTACATTGTTAGCAATAAGATCAGTCCACGTTACTAACAATCCCCATTCCTCCCTTAATTGTTATATTTATCAGAAGAAAATTAAATCATTTTACTTTTGTTATTAGTAATACGATAAGAACAAAAACATTTTTTTTTTGTTTTAATATTCATTATAAATATTCTATGTTACGACAGAGTTGAAATACATGTGATCGAACATGGTTTAGATGTAGTCATTATCTCGCCCGGATTTCACAGTTCCCCAATAAAATATACATACTTCATTTATTCATTTCTTTTGTCCCTTGCGTCCTTGTAATAGACATAAGTAATCATCGACATTCATCAATCGCCATCTATCGCAACTTGGTCGAAGGACGGATTTATAACATCCATTATGTACACACCCTTAAAACTTGAATTTCTCTTACACACATATTAACCTGCCGCCGATTCCTCAATTGACATCTAAAATCTTCTATATCACGATAATGTATCTTCTAAACGTGAATATTTCAGATTATTACACAAAATTGTTTGTCAGGCTGACAATAGCAAAATAAGTACCGGAAGTACCGAACACAAATCTGATAGATAACATATATGAGTAAGCAACATATAATGTAATCAATGAGTAATTGATATAAACAATATTTTTAATATTCATATCAGGTATTAAGAACAGCTGACTTGACTCAATCGACATATATATGATATCATTAATATTTTAATCACCTAAACAATTTACGAGTGTCTACCCCACAGATGAGTAGGCGTGACGATATACAGATAAGATACAGACGGTACCTTAGTTTAGATAGATATACTAACGAGCTCACTCAGAGAAGTCAGTAATAAAGTCATTTGAAACACACGTCTGAGTGGTTAATTGGATGATTGTATGACTCAAACTATTAAATTACAAGGAAAATTGTGTATTAACGAGTAAGTTGGCGAGTATCACAAACGAAGTCAAGTCGAAGGTCAATAAAGTACCTAGTAGATCAGGAAACCTTGTAAATAAACTACGAACATAACAAACAGCCAATGCGTAAAATTCTAGTAATAATTTATTCAAACCAAGAGAGAAAACCAAATAAACATTCCTATATTCAAAATATCACAAGGTTATCATAAAAATACAGGATCTGTCGTAACAAAGAAATAATTTAAAAAGAGTATTCCCCTACTGACAATGAGATTGCGCTGGGTTTGTGTGGACTCATAAAAGCAATTTAATAAGTAGATCACTCTCAATTAGTAATATATTTATGTTTATTATTTTTAAGAATTATTATGATTAGGTTTGATATAATGGAGTTGACATTCTTTGAAAAAAAAACCCAAAATAAAGTTGAATAAGAAAAAAATTATAAGTCCCCTAAAAGTCTATATTCCTTATCACACCTAAAAACTTTTTTATGTCGAAATGCCTTCCACGTCATAAAAATGCACTAAAATACATATCAATAGTTTAATAATAGATAATGTAGTCGACAGATAACGGTCCAATTACTGGAGTGGTAACGTGTAGTGCTATAATGTACATACATTTAACATTAAATAGGATAGTTACTGCATATAGAGTGGCAAACAAGCTGACGGCCAACCTGATGGTAAGTGGTAACCGTCGCCTATATACATGAACAGCAACATGGAAATTACGTTATCATGTGACAGCCATGATACCATACATGCGTTGCCATGGTATCCTGGTATTAAACTTCCTTAGCTCTCAAAGCAAGCTGAAATAGGCAACCAAAATTATCCACTGTTTTCTTTTTTGGAATCTTTGTCGTTTTGTTATGGATAATAATGGAATGGTGCACCCGCCTGCGCTAACGGTTTCCGCTTGCGGGGCACCAGTGGAGGATGATAAGTCGAGGTCAGGTCAGTTAGCCCATCGTGACAACTGCACCAAGCTTTGTTGTTAAACCTACAGAGGTATTACGGTTATAGTTTACTCCCTACCTATTATTGTATTGAAAAATCTCGCCGGTACCAGATTTTTAAGACCTTTTGAATTTGAAGAAAGTATGTAACAATGTTGTTCATAACGAGTGACATTTTTCTGAATATCCGTGATATGGAGTCCTAATACATGATGGAAATAAAGAACACATGCACGTGAGAGACGACATCAAGATCAGCGAAGATTCTGCATTTATAATAGCGAATGCAGGGTATAGATTATGTGAGGATATGAAGAAACAATTTAGCAGACAGAAAATTAAACAGTAAAAAAATACAACTATCAATGTAAAACTCCATAGTTGTCTCCTAACGACAAACTGCGTGCTCGTATAAACAACAGTAACTGAGTATGTAAGAATTATAATAGAAGAATGATGTAAAAACAGGACATATTCTCTATCTGTATAATGATCTAAGGATCTTCATTACATTAAATGTTTCTAATTCCATCGGGTATATAACTCTGTCCATATACATACTTCGAATCTAAATAAATTATGTACATACAGAAAAATAATTTATTTCCACGCCTGTTTGAGTAGCAGAATTGGCATTTTGCCTATTGGCGTTTGTTTTAGTATTCGGCATTTTGTGAAATGCTAATTTTATTAGCGTCTATAAAATAACATGAATACTTATACATATTACAAGAACAAATAATAACATTGTAAGATATTTATGTCATAACATATGTATGGTAGGTTTCCGATTATATATATAACCGTCAAAGCTTTGAACGATTAACGCAATTGAACCCTTTGTAATAGGGGAGAAACTAAAACTAATTATCAACATATCTCTATTGTTATATTATGTAGGCATCATTCAGGATTGCACAAGACATTAATAATATACTATTGTGCAATACACATGTGCTATTTATCAAACATAAAAATGTGTTTTATAAATAGAACATGAGAAATATGTTTATCATAGTACATTCTATCAGATTATTATTATAACACATACCTTAGCTTACTGTAACTAAACTTTCTATATAATATCTATTTATTCTTGTTCATACAATAAATAGTTATCATTTTCTTGTTCATACAAAGGCCAAATAATCCATTAGATTATTAAAAAACCTATAAATGCACATAATTGTATATGTTTCGAAATAATTTTATATTATACAAAATTATTTATAAATAATGAAATCCAAAAATGTTTTGAGCCCAAAATTTACAATTTATCTGTTTGTGTAAATAAGTTTTCATGTGAAAATAACTCAAAAATGGTGATGAAAACATAACTGAATATATTGTTAAATTTGGGCTAACATATATTAGCTAAAGAGAGTTGAAAAAATACCCTCCAACTGGAAACATTAAATAGAATATATGCTAAGGAATTAGAAACCCCTTGGGCCAAAAGTCCTCATTACTAACAATTTCTTTCCCCTAGATTGAAGAATTGCTTTATGTGTATTTACATAATATATGAGCATTTTACACACCTAATATATATTTTATTTATTAGAGGTAAAACAAGATAAAATATATATATTTATGTAAATAAAATAATATTCTTATATATAATGAAAACTTGAGAATGGCTGGATCATATTGGACAATTCCTTCCTTGGAGTTCTACATATATTTCAACACCATATTATAATATTTGTGGTATTCCAAGAAAGTTTAAGATAATAAGCATTATATGCAATGATGATGTTTTAATGGGAGATGACAAACATGGCAAACATGTTGTAATAGTCATTTTGTAACAAAACCTCTGTAAAGGTTCAGCTATGCGAGAAGTAAAGAATTCACAATGAACTTTCAAAGAACTAAAAACAAATTTCTAACCGTTTTAGAAAAAAATGTGTGATTTTTCAGAAGTCTTCTTCCATGGCTTAATGGATTTATATAACTATGTTTAATTCTGCTAAGGTCAGTGCCAAAACCTTATCACTGCTACTGAAAGTGTCACAATTTTCTCTATAGGTTATAAACTTCAGACTGTAATAATACCTATCCTAGAAAAGTGGGATCTGCTATCACAAGTATTTAACTATACTTATAAGGAATCCCAGGTTTAGTTTAAAAAAAGAAAAGTATATATTAATATGAATAACATAAATAGTTTGTTAAATATAATTAAATAAATGACCCGAGATGGTTAACACAGTGCCGTCTAGTCCTAAGCTAAGCAAAGCTTGTGTTATTGGTACTAGACAACTGATTATAAATACTTATATAGATATTTTCTTTAAATATATACATGATATACATAGAGATCACCCAGACTGATACAAACAAAATTACACTGTGCGAGGAATTGAATCCGCAACCATCGGAAGTAAAGTGGTGTGCTAGAAAGCTGGACCATTGACTGTCAAATTAATTCCATAAACATTAAATATAGGAATAGTACATGCTCAAGGGCCCAGGTGAGAGGCTAATTGAGGAAAATGGAGTCCAACTTACATTTACAATGTAGGAATAGTGGAATAGAATTGCAGTAAGTAAAAGTACTATATAAGCTATAGAATCTACACCCATACCCATGTTTTGGCTCTGGATGAGGCATCAATGGCATCATCTGCATTGAATGCAGTTCAGATGTAGCTTGGAAGCCTAACATTGACTGTTCGGGAACCAAACTGTAACTCATTTATATTTACTCCAAACATTTATACAGGCAAGAATACATTTAGTGGACATAGGTTGAGATAAATCTACCATGGGAGTCAGAATGTAAATTTGGAAACTGCATAATAGGAAGTTTTAAGAGTTAAGACTGCATAATAGTAGTATCTATCTGAGATCAGCCAATTAGCTTTTATCAGATTTTATGTAATAAATATAATAATAATATGGTAATAGGAAGATGAAAATGTAGGTTTGGAGATTGTCTGCATAAAGGTAATAAGAAAAATGAACTTTTTTGAAGAAGGAATGCTTGAGCCAATAAACAATAGCTGATATATAAAAAACCCTTCTACTGTCCCTTAACCATTACATCGATAGTTCACAAACCTACCGCATTTATACATATAAATAAAATTGGAGTGTCTGTTTGTAATACTGAAATAACAATTTTTTACTACATGCATATGACTATAAATACGGTACATACACCAAAATTTCATCCAATCATTTTTTACAATTTTTGTCGGTCTGTCGGTCTTTTTGTTCCAGCTAATCTCTGAAATAGCTCTACTGATTTGACGGGACTGTTTTTGGCAGGTAGCTGATGTAATAAGGAGTAACTTAGCCTATTTCAAAAAAATCTTTTATTTTAGAAAAAGAAATTTAAATTCCACACGGATGAAGTCGCGGGAACAGCTAGTAACAAATAAATTACGATGTTATAGTACTATTATTATTTATCTTACTGATTCAGGTTAGGTGGATAGACATTTGTTAATGTGTCATGCAAAAACTATGGATTAGATTTTTATGAAACTTTACAGTAATATAGCTTATAAATCAGAATAACACATATGCCATAATTTAAAACAAAATATGTAAATTGGGTGAAATATAATAATAAATTTCAAGTAAGTGTGATACTGACGACCTTGTGCCAGTTTGCTAGTTTCAAATAAAAGTTAATGTAACCTATGTGCCAATAAACATTGTTTATGATAGTAAAATGTCCGCTAAATATGATCTAATGTTACTTTAGTGGCATTGATCTTTACAAGAGGTAGAATTTGTTTAGTTGCACAGCATTGCTTCAAATTTGAAGCATTAGGATCAAAATACTAATAACCCTTACACAGGTCTGTGTGTGAAATTTTAATACTGTAGAGATCACTTTTTGTACACCATTTAATTAAGTTAAGAGTACATATACCCACAGTTAATTATTATAAGTAATTAACATATAAATTCATTGTCAATTAAATATAACAATATATGTATCTCCTCAAGTGATATTTGGTAACCTACGCAAGTTAATGCAAAGTTACAATTTATTTGTAAAATTTAAGCAGTGATGTTAAACGTTGAATAATAAACATTAATGAAGCTGAATAATAATGTAGACTAATATTAACATTCGCAAAGCTAGACTAAGAAGGTATACTTATTTCAGAAAAATATATAGTATGAAGTAAATAAACAATTTTATACAACAAGCGTAACTCATTTACATTTATCTTAATAACTCTTGTATATCGAGTCGAAGCTTGACATCTACAAAAATAATTTGTGTTCCACTTACCGGAAACTACGAGTGCCTCGTTAGGGCCGCAGGTAACAAAACCCCAAGTCATTTTTGTTGAATTTAAAGAAAACTAAGCCGTAACTAAATAAAACAATTATTTGAATCAAAACCATGAAATATCGAATATTTTATATATATGTCAAAACATAAATCGGCTTCAACAAAAAAAACAATGCCCAATGGAGACGTCGGAGTGAGGCAAAGAGTATAGTAATCAAAGACTATATATGTAATTATAGACGAGAGATAATAATCAAAAAGCTAGAATTTAGCACCGTAGAGGTAGTATACTGAATCTATGGCTAACCAATGTTGCCAGATGAATATCTGATATTTCCCCAATTTTTTCCTGAATACAACTAAAATTAAAAGTTTTGTAGAAAATCCCAACTATAAATAGTCTACTATATTCGTACTCTTTTCAATTATCATGATTTTTTTTTATAATATTCTACTCTGGTCTTTTTTGTACTTCGAAGGGTTTTTGAAATAATTAGACTGCTACCGACCAATCCGCGTGGTCATAATAAATATGATAAAGGTACGTAGAGGAAATAACGGATAACTAAGCTTAACGAAGGGTAGCACTTACCTATGAAAAAAAAGTGAAACATTTTGCTAAAAGAAAATTTAATAGTTAGCAGCAGACTTTAAGCGTAGCAGTTTTTTAAATTATTTTATACGTAGATATATCTGACACTCGTTGGCTATTTAAGTATATTAGTAAGGATATTTACTATGGTACACATTTTATTTGAATAAAATAAATATGGAATTAAGAACGTATATCATAAATTATTTAACTATGAACTTATTACATTTGTTTATATCGATACCACTTAATACTGATACTTACAGATCTATTGTAAAATAAACTTTATTTTCTTAGAAAATATTTTAATTCTTTATATTTTTCCAAAAAAACTCTTTGTTTTGCCCTCTTATTATGCACTGGATATAATATTTTTGTTTATTTCTAATAATTTAAACGACATTTGCAGTAATAAATACAAAAACATGCAGTATTCATTTATTACAATTTACCTGTAAAATCAATTATTATTTGAATTTTGTCGTTGCAATGTGTAGCAATCAATTAAATAATCAGAATTTTGTACTAGTGTTATTGAAAATATTTTTCATTAATATACATAATATTTATATATATATCGCACAATTTATCAATACTTAAATAAAGTTGCTATAATAGAAAACAAGGTGCTAATAGGAAATTGCGGGAAACATTAAGTAAAAATCAAAATCAAAAGTAGACGGCGCCACCATGTTATAACAAAAAAAAATATAGAAAACGGTAGTTTGCTGGTATACACCTCATGTGAATAAAATCTATAGTTAGAAATGAAATTCGAGAACGTCTCATTTTCAACAGTTTAATTACTAACTTGATAATAAATAATTTATCTAATAACAATGTCCAAAAAATGTTATCAGTCATTCTCTAAAGAGTTTTATTTAATAAGCTTTTTGAATAATAAATTACAGTGCGATGTAATGACTAAATCATTATTATTGTTAGGTATAGGAATACATATTTTTATTTAACAGTAATACTGTCACTGTCAGTGTTGATAACAACAACAAACAAACAAATATAACAAATTTATCAGATGCAGGCTACTACAGACCCTAATTACAAGAACTGCCTCGGTTTTACTTTTGTCGTTTTACATGAGATCTTACAACTTGTAACAGAAGAGTCATTTAATTTTTACGTCTTATTATTTTGGTGGGATTTCATTACGTCCGTCGTAGGTCGTCCTTGTTACTTTGTCCGTTAGGTATCAACTTTCTTCCAATCCTTGTCTTTCTGTATTTTCAGAAATGTTTAATGTTATCTTCGAATTTTTAAGAATTTTGAACTTTGTAAGGTTACTAAACATATTTTTACTATAGAGGAAGATTGATATAGCTATAATTCAAATATAGACAATACAAGTATATGACGACCTTGGTGGTCTAGCGGTTTGGGCTGGTTCTATTCCTCGCACGATGCAAACATTTGTATTCATGAGATTTGTTTGTATCGGTCTGAATGTTTTCTAAGTATATTATGTATGTATTTACAAAAAACTGTATCTGAGATTTCTATATATTATCTAGTACCCATAAAACATATTCCGCTTAACTTGGGCTGAGTGACACTGTGAATTATACAGGACTATTATTTATTTATTTATATTTAAGTAAACTACAATTTACGGTAATGATTAAATATAGGGACATGTCGGCATTATAGTGTTAGTGTTAGTAATAGACCTTCTAGATCACTGAAAATTCAATTCCAATTAAATTTTCTTGTTTTTTTTCAATAGCAATTTTCAGGATGTGAAATATGCAGTCGAGAAGTGGATGGTACGGTAATACCTACTTGCTTGGCGAGTTCTTTACCGCACCTTCTGATACATTTGACATAATCTGGCTCTTCTTGCCACTGATTTAGAATAGAGCCCTTACGTATATGCTAATTCGAAATTTCAAAGACTGTCACCAGTTTTTAGATTTTATAGTATCTTTTATTTAAGTCTGTACTCTCTTATACTACTCTCATATTTAGGTACAGTTTCATTTTACAGGTTCAATGTTAGTATCAACTTGCCCATCCATTCTTCCCTACGGCCGACACCGATGAAACCGATCGTTTCTGCAGTTAGTTTCTCTATTGATTGCCGCATGGATTCTCATGTAAAGTATACTGTAACTATCACCTGGTAATTTTAAATAGCTATGACGAATCTATAGTCACTAAAATGAATCAGTGTAATGAATGGTAGTATGTATTCACTCATTTCAACTTAAAAATGTAAAGTTGCAACTAATTAAATTACCATTTCATTAAAACACATTTCGATGTCCTTACATATTCTAGAAACAATTGAAACATTTCAGTTTACAACAATTTGTATACATTGTCAATTGTATTTTGATAGTATGGAAATTATACGATTGTAGGGGTAAAGTTATTACTAATAAGCGACTGTCTGCGACGGTGGTGGCTTTATAGCCACCCTAGAGAGACCGACTGTATGCAATACAATACGGTAACATGTAATGGCCAATTAAAAGTTTTCGTAACTGGTGTATTTGATATTTTTGTATGAATACATTGATGGACATGGAGGAAGCAAATTTGGTGTTTGTTATTTGTGTATATTCAAATAGGGGAGAGGCGATACGTGTAGGGCATTCCATTGTGTGGACACTAAAATGTAAAAGTTTATAACAATGTACTGTGGGATATCGTTGAAATTAATTTAACTTTGTATTGAATTGAGTTGTGAAACATCAGTGAGTAGAGATGCCACTAATATACGGTATTAAGCTTGCAATATTATTTAGATTAATTAATAGGAACATCAAACCATAATAAAACGTATATTAATAATATACAAAATTCTCGTGTCACAATTAGTTACCATAATCCAATAAAACTGCTTGATCGATTTTTGAAATTTTATATGCACATTCAGTAGGTCTGAGAATAAGCTACTATCTATTTATAAGTAAGTAAGTTAAGAGTTAACATTTATTTTTTAGTTCTTGAACTATTTTTTATACTGGTATAATATGGCATTAAGACATACATAGAACCCTGAATTTTCATGAATGTATTACCACAGATAACATAATATTACATAGTATTACCAATCACTATTTTCTAATAGCGATTTTAATTTATATAGCATAACAACTTTTGCGGGGTTAGCTAATCTTACTATATCAGTTTAAATCAAACTAATATCACGGATAACATAATAATACTAATATAGAAAGATTAGCTAACCCCGAATTTATGTAATACTAAACAGCTTTAACGCTAAAACGTCATATTTAATAAAAAGATGAACGCAGTAAAATTGAGAAACTATGGTTGTTGTGGCATGACTATTATTGTTATTATTTTACATTTTACATATTATTAATACATAATACACATATATAATAAATAATCGACAAATGATTTTCGCTTTTAACAAATACCCCACCCTCGGAATGTACTAAGTATCGTCGAATATTCGGTATTTGGTATTTGGCAAAAACAATATTCGTGGCATCTCTAGTTCAGATAATTTATACGAAAATAGGTGTCTAGCCAGGAGTGCAATTAAATATGATGAGACGAGACTAAAGTACATATATAACGATCACTATAGAAGTTGGTATAGAGAAAATATAATATAATGTAGGTATTTTCAGCTTAACACGAATACTTTGGAGAGTAATTTAATTTTGACTGTGTTTATTGCCGCACAAATTTAAAACTATTATATCGCATCTTCTATATAGGTGTTAGATGAAGTTTTTAAGATTTTAATAATAAAACTAATTTCGTGAGTAAGTGGTAAAGTTATTCTAGTAAAGAACATTTTCCTATAATGAACTGCATGCATTGTAAACCTACATACGTACTACACATACCTATGACTTACATATCCCGGATGAGGTATAATTTATATTGTTTTTTTTTAATTTCATGTGTTTATACGAGATTCCGGACTATGTTTATACAGAAAATTAAATTATAGAATTTATTTTAACAAACCATTTATAAGCAGAGATTTCAGACTTCCCATTCTATGAAAATGTAGGTAATTCAGCGTTGTCGTCAATATAACATATCTGTACATTTGTATCCTTACACAAAATTCCAACTTTATAAAACTCCAGGACGACGGGCTATAAAGTGAAGCTGTATAGTATGGTATCCATAAAAGTTTGCAATCACATGTACCAGTTTACGTTGCTCCTTATCCAGTTATCTCGTTAGGAATAAAAATTTTCAGTCAATTTGAAGCGTAAAATAACAGGTAAAGTGTGAATTGAACTTCTCAAGGGTACTGAACAAATGCTTTATACTTTATTTTATATTCTGTACAAATAATTGTAAGATACTTTACGTGATTTATATCATATGGTATATTTACAATATACTAGCTGTGATTACATGTTATTCTGATATATAAACTATATTACTGTAAAATTTCATTAAAATCCATTCAGTAGTTTTTGCGTGAAAGGGTAATAAACATCCATCCATACTAACAAACTTTCGCGTTTATAATATTATTAAGATACAAACGATTTCATCTATAACTGTGATTAATAGGTAGTAGAGTTAATGTGTTTAGGATTTTATTAGTCTAACATAACAAACAATATAGCAAACGACACATGTATCGTTACAATGGGGCGGCCTTATTGCTAAAACCAATCTTTTGAAGGCATAGACATATAGCTG